AAGCCTCGCAATTCTGACCTCGGAGATGCCAGTGGTCTGGCCACTCTCGCCCGAGACATCCTCGCAATGCTGGGTTCCGAGATTCCCTGAGCTGAGGTGGTCAGGCCACTTTCGCCTGAGACGTCCTTGCACCTCTGACATCGGAGATACCATGCCCCATGGTGGTCCGCCCACTTTCGCCTGAGATATCCTCGCAAACTTGTGATCCGAGATGTCCTTAACCACAGGCGCACCTCTGACATCCGAGATGCCCTGAGCCACAGCCGTCTGGATGTACACATTGTGCAAAACTCAGCCACATGAGAAAAAAAAAAAAAAAAAAAAAAAAAAAAAAAAAAAAAAAAAAAAATGGTGAAAAACACATGGATCCATGCTCACGTATATGTAGTCCACAGGCGCATAATATTGTCTTTGCGCACGCGCGCACGCACGTACAACACATAGTCGGCGCGGCTCGGGAGAAGACACGGGGAGGAGAGTCGGGGAGTGTCGGGGAGAAGAGTCGGGGACGAGACTCGGGGACGAGACTCGGGGACGAGACTCGGACACGAGAATCGGACACGAGACTCGGGGACGAGACTCGGCTACGCGACTCGGGGGCGAGACTCGGGGGAGGAGACTCGGGGAGGAGACTCGGGGAGGAGACTCGGGGACGAGACTCGGGGACGACACTCGGGGACGGGACTCGGGGAAGCGATTCCGGGGCGGGACTGACTCGGACACGAGACTCGGGGACGAGACTCGGGGACGAGACTCGGCTCCGCGACTCGGGGACGAGACTCGGGGACGAGACTCAGGGGGGAGTCTCGGGGACGAGACTCGGGGACGAGACTCGGGGACGACACTCGGGGACGGGACTCGGGGAAGCGATTCCGGGGCGGGACTCGGGGACGAGACTCGGGGAGGAGACTCGGGGACGAGACTCGGGGACGAGACTCGGGGGCAAGACTCCGGGAGGAGACTTGGGGAGGAGTCTCGGTGACGAGACTCGGGGACGAGACTCGGGGACGACACTCGGGGACGAGACTCGGGGACGAGACTCGGGGACGAGACTCGGGGACGAGACTCGGGGAGGAGACTCGGGGAGGAGACTCTCGGGCTGTCCTCTCGGGCTCTCCGTGGGGCGCGGTGCGGCCGAAACACTTGGATCACGATCCAAATGTTCCTGAGATCGTGAATTCAGGGTCTTCCGTCCTCCTCGTCCTCCTCATCCTCCTCGTCCTCGTCCTCCTCCTCCTCCTCCTCCTCCTCCTCTTCCTCCTCCTCCTCTTCCTCCTCCTCCTCCTCTTCCTCCTCCTCCTCCTGCCTGCTCCTCCCTCCTCCACCTTCCTCCCTGCTCCTCCCTGCTCCTCCCTGCTCCTCCCTGCTCCTCCCTGCTCCTCCCTCCCTCCTCCTCCCTCCGCTTTCCTCCTGCTCCTCCCTCCCTCCCTCCTCCTCCGCATCCTCCCTCTTTCCTCCTCTCCTCCTCCTCCTCCTCCTCCTCCTCCCTTCTCCTCCTCCTCCCCTCCTCTCCTCTCCTCCTCCTCCTCCTCCTCCCTCCCTCCTCCTCCTCCTCCTCTCCTCCGCCTCCTCCCGCCTCCTCCCTCTCCTCCTCCTCCTCCTCTCCTCCTCCTCCTCCTCCTCCTCCTCCTCCTCCTCCCTCCTCCTCCTCTCCTCCTCCTCCTCCTCTCCCCTCCTCCTCCTCCTCCTCCTCCTCCTCCTCCTCCTCCTCCTCCTCCTCCTCCTCCTCCTCCTCCTCCTCCTCTCCCCTCCTCCCTCTCCCTCCTCCCTCCTCCCTCCTCCTCCTCCCTCCTCCCTCCTCCATCCTCCCTCCTCCCTCCCCCCCCCCTCCTCCCTCCCTCCCTCCTCCCTCCTCCTCTCCCTCCTCCCCCTCCTCCCCCTCCTCCCTTCCTCCCTCCCCCTCCTCCTCCTCCCTCCTTCCCTCCTCCCTCCTCCTCCTCCCTCCTCCCTCCTCCCTCTCCCCCTCCCTCCTCCCCTCCTCCCTCCCCCCTCCCTCCTCCTCTCCTCCCTCCTCCCCCTCCTCCCTCCCCTCCTCCCTCCTCCTCCTCCCTCCTCCTCCTCCCTCCTCCATCCTCCTCCTCCTCCTCCTCCCGTCCTCCTCCTCCTCCTCCTCCTCCTCCTCCCTCCCCCTCCTCCCCTCCTCCTCCTCCGCCGCCTCTCCTCCTCCTCCTCCTCCTCCCTCCTCCCCTCCTCCTCCTCCCTCCTCCTCCCTCCGCCTCCGCCTCCTTCTCCTCCTCCTCCTCCTTCCTCCTCCGCCTCCTCCTCCTCCTCCTCCTCCTTCTCCTTCCTCCTCCTCCGCCTCCTCCTCCTCCTCCTCCTCCTCCATTCTTTCTCCTCATACATAACTTCTCCCTGTCGCACCCCGAGGCCCGATTGTGGGGCGGGCTGGGCGCGTCGCCTGAGACTCACCCTCCATGTAGGACTCTGAAGCTTCGAAAGTGACAACAGTTTCACGGATGGAAGGCGGGTGGATTTCAAAAAGTGGTTCTCGCCTTAGCGA